CGTGAATGAACTGTGGGATATAAATTAGGTCTAGCTTGTAGGTTCTATACAAAATTCTTTGTGAAGAAATATTGAGATTGCTTATGAGAGACCAATTAGATGATATCTGGAGCCAAATTGTTAGCTAGTAGAGATCTATATAAGAGCAGAGATGGGTATTTTAACAGGATTTGCTAAAATGGAGTGAATGGAATGTGAATCCTGAAAATTTACAAGTCATAGGTAATGGTAAATTAAAAAAAACTACCTCTCTGAAATGTATCATATTTGGGATGAAGCGAAAGGTTCAGTTTTGTACATTTTTAATTTTAGGTATTTATTTATTAAAGGATATTATCCCATAGGTAGAAATGTGGGCTATTATTTTGAAAAACAACTGGATCAGGTAAGAAAACTTGAAAGTTGGACCTAAATTGATGATAGTAGATGAAATAGGAGTGGATGATATTGCCTTGAAACATTTGACAAAGCCTTAGAAAAATACCAACATTTCATAAAGGAGGAGAATAAAGGGAAAAGCCTGGCCAGTAGCGAGGAAGGATAGTCAGATCAGTGGCAGAATGAAATCAGAGGAAGCTTGTAAATTTCAGAATCACTCGTCCCTGAACCTTCATGCATAAGGTAAAAAAATAAAGTTAGTTATCTGGGTGGAAGAACTTGTATCTAGTATCATGTCTACTTCACTTATATTTAAAGAGTGAAAAACAGTCTGAGTTAGCTGCATTACAAATCGTCATTCTAAATTGTTTTTATCTTTTTTACTATAAGTTACTAGACTTCCTCATAGAAGGAAGTTAATTTTACTTTTGTTTTAATTGCTTAATAGTAAGTCTTAGCTTTCTTTAGCGATAGTCAAATACAATTGAATTGTTAGTGTCTGAGATAACATTTCTTTTGATTTTAGATTCAGATGTATTTTTAGTCATGTTGTGAGGAAAATTGAAAAGTCTGATATAAAAGGCGTACCATGCATAGGAGAAAAGAAAATTGGATGTAAAGTTAGAAGTCATACTTAAAGTTGGGTGAAAATTTTAGATCTGTCTGATGCCATATTTTTGTAAGTGGCGTGTTTTGAGAAGGATCTCTTGAGGTACCTCCCTTTATTCTTCAAACTCAAGTGCACACATATCTATGACTATACATACCACTGATGTGTGACATTTTACATATGATGTATTGTTGGTGTTTAATAAGAGCATCTTGAAGTTAGATTATAAAGACTTTTTTTTTTTTGTCTTTTTCACTTTTATTGGTACCAGGAATCGAACTCACGACTGCCTGCTTGCAAGGCAGGCCCCTATGCCGCTGAGCTAAATCCCCAGCCCCTATAAAGACATTTTTAAAAATACAAGTTCATTGTACTTTTAGGAAAAATTCTTGTTTAGTTTCCTTTTATCATGTTTTAAGGTCAAATTTGACTCTGATGTTCTACAAAGAGACAGAGATTGATAATTGGGAAAGAACAGTGCTTTAATGTGATTTATATCTATAGATTTTATGTCAGATATGAAGAGTTGCTGTTCAAATTGTACAGGAGGATCCATTAAAGAACACTTTAAACCATTTTACTATGTAGCTTACCTTGAGCTGTGGCTTTTAGAATTATGCTTTTTCAAGCAAACATTAATACTTATCAAATGATTAGAAAATATACTTTGATAAAGTTGTTCTAGTACTAATAAAGGCATAATAGACTATTTGATAGAATCATATTGGGGATTTTTAGTACTGTTCAGTGTGAAGGTATATCAGTGTGTCAGGAGTATACAGAAACAAATAATTTTCTAAGTTTCATAAGTAATTTGAATTTCTCCTTACTATGTAATGGTAGCAAAAGGTAGACTGTTGATACATTTGGAAATGCTGAAAAGATAAGTATTTGTCTCCCATTCTGTAGTATTCCTCTAAGTACATAATTGGGCTGGATACAAGGTAATCTACTGAATGTTCTTAGTTCATATGCAAGCACCACAAAATACCACTTATGAAGTGATATGTTTTTCACACTGGAAAAATTTGCTAAGTATTTTAAAACTACTGTTCCTTCAGATACGTTCGAATTTTTTATTCATATATTTTCTCAAGCTCAACTCTTCTGTGGCTTATTTCAATTAATATTAAAAAAATACCAGATGCATTTGCATTTAACTTGTTAAAATATAGTTCTTTATTGACTAATTGACTTAATTTTGTTAAAAGTGTTTAGTTTCAATTCAAATGTTTTAGTTCATTTTAGTTTTCAACTTCTGTCTCAGACATTGTGCAAAGTCTTCTAGTTGATAGAGTCTTCAGCTAATGTAACCCATCATTTTGCAGATGAGGACATTCGCCTAAAGAGGTAAATAAGGTAATTGCTCAAGACTGGCAGGAAACATAACTGAGATGATAATGCAGTCTGGATTTTGCTTTGCTTCCAACTTTATATTCATATAAACACATAATGATTTTGATGTGTGTGCATGAACATACACATACTGCTAGGAATTGCACACAGGATTACATCTCAGCCCTTTAAAATATTTTTAAATTTTGAGACAGGGTATTGCTGAGTTGCCCAAAATGGGCTCAAAGTTGTCATTCTTCTCACTCACTGCTAGAGTGTCAGGATTACTGGTATATGCAACCTGGCTATCACATGCTGATTTTTAGTGATTCTTTTTCTGTCATAATCCTGCATTCCAGAATTTCTTTAATGTATTACTTTTTTGCCTGTATTTTGTGTGTGTGTCAAGCTATTGCTTTTCCAATCCCTGAAACTGATTCATGTTTTATGCTTTGCCTTTGCTTTAACTTAGTTTCTTTTATTCTCATGTTAGAATGACTCACCTTCTTAAACTGGGCAAGATGGTACATACCTGTAATCTCAACACTTGAGAGGCTGATACAGGAAAGTTTTTACAGGTTTAAATCCAGCCTTCCCTATGTAGTGAGCTCAGAGACAACCTGTGCTATGTAATGAGACCCTGTCTCGGGAAATAAAACAAAACAAGAAAGACCTACCTTGTCATTATTTATCATTTCAGCCTTAGATTCCTATGATTTATCATTGCTCAGACTGAGAACTATTTGATTTCTTATATAGTTACATGTATCCCATACATTTTGAGTTGCTTTTGGTATAAGGAATGGAAACCTCAGTTTATATTATCATGTAATGAGCAAAAATTTATTGGGACTAATAAATTTTTTAAAAAAAGACTTGTAGTAAGTCTAAAGCAGTGATGATAAACATATAGCCTGCTTGCCACAGCGGGATGTTTTGAAAACTCTTTAGTTTGCCATCACTGGTCTAAAGGCAAGCTACTTTTTAGGGTTTGATTGATCCCTGAAGGTCATGATTTCATCTAGAATAAACCTATTTTTTCTCCAATTCTCGCAGTTCTGGTCTCTAGATTTTGGCTTTATCTTCAAGTGAACTGCCCCCATAGAATAGAGAGAGCTTTCAAACACTCCTGAATATTTCAGTGAAGGGATGAGTAGAACTATCCATTAAAATCTTGAACGGAAATTTCACTCTGTTGCACAGTTATGTCAGGTGCTGTCCCTGAGTCAGTGGTCAGTGTTGATGTGATTAAAACCTTGATGATTTTAGGACAATCAGAACCCTCTTGTGGCTGGGTCTAAGTCAGGGGTTGTGTGTGGGAACAGTCTTTTCAAACTGGTACTGCATACAGTACCAGAAGCAGGCAACTACAGTATGTACCACATCCTTCATGGGGTAGCATTTGTGCTGGCACCAAATTTAGGTTATTCATTGGAGGTTGTATGTGTGAATGAGTGTGTGTATTTATGCACTTAACATTTGGTAATTAAAGCCAGGCATCCAGTAGGCCTGGGAAAGGATCAAGCTTACATCTATCTTGTATTTTCTTCTCTTAAATAATATTTTGAAATATGGTATCTTAAATATGCACCATAGATATCTGAATTTTTAAGTATTTTGGAAACTAATAAATGTATTACATCTGATTACTGTTGAGGAACCCAAGAAGTAGTTTTTTTGACAAAACTTTTTAAACCTTGATACACATGTAAGGCAGCTCAGGATCTTACTAAAATTCAGTACTGTTTTAGCAGATTTGGAATGGACCTGAACTTTTTCACATTTGATCTTTGCATGTGATTTTAATACTGTGGATCCATTTTGCATAGTTAGAATTTGAAAGACTAAGATGCTGTAGTTTGTAAAGGTGTGTGGACTAGCTCTGTGTACTCTTATAAGCTATTTCTGTATATTTTTGGAGCCTTGTCAGTGGCATCATAACTTATATCCCCACTTATCTTGTTCCATTATAATCCATTCTTGATGTGACAGCCGTATCAATCATTTTAAAATGTAAATTGGTCTGTCTTTCTATTACTTAAAAGTTTTCACTGATATCCCCTTTATGAGAATAAAATCTAAACTTCTTAGCATAATTGCATAGTACAAATGATGCAGTCCAACCCTTAGGTCTCCAAACTAATTTCATACCTTTATTTCTGTATAATTCACTATGACTCAAGTCCTTTATGATTTCACTTCATGCTATTTTGTAATGCCGGGTCCCTTTTCTTGCATTACTGGCCTCTTATGCTTTAGGTTTCTTGTTAAATATTTATTTCTGAGTATATCTTGTGATTCACTTTAGAAAAGTAAATTCTTGAGAGTGTTATAGCAAGAAAGCATATCACTAAATGTTAGCCAAATAATTGAATGAAGGTTAGAAAACTAACTCTAAAGTTTGTGTTGGTTTTATCCATGCTGAAGATTATTTCTTGATGTATTTTAAGCCTCCCCATGTTTCATAATACCAACATATGCTTCTTTCTTTCTTTCTATTCAAGTCTCTGAGTGCCCAGTATTCTGCAGACAAAAGAGAAGAGGAAAAGATGTGTGATCATTTGATAAGAGCCGCGAAATATCGAGACCATGTGACAGCAACTCAGCTAATCCAGAAAATTATCAACATTCTCACAGACAAGCATGGAGCCTGGGGAAATTCCTCAGTGAGGTAAAAGGGTGCCTTTAGGATTTGGTTCTTCATTTTCTATAGATGGTCTAGCTTCAGATAAATTTCTTTTAGTCTGATCGGTACTAGATAAAGGCCACAGTAATTTGATTTTGTATTTCAACATTTACTGTGAATTTAAAGCAAAAGAAAAGGCAAAAACTTATATGACTACAGTAACAGATTGTTCTAGATAACTTCAGTTTTCTCAGTTGCTTCATAAGAAAATTTACTTTTATTTATTGGGAAGTGAATTGTTAAAGATAGCAGTTAACAAAACTTTATTAGCTGTAATTAACAGAATTTCTGCAAATTCATCATTTTATCTTTTTGCTATACTTTTGAATTTTTAACATATAAATTTGAAAACACATTGAGTTTTTATTGTCATTGAAAATTGCAGGACTATGATGGTAAAATCAGTAAGCTTTCTTAAAATTTTATTCAATATATTTCCCTCCTTTTAAAATAACAGTCTAAGCATTCTACTCTTTGTTACATTAAGGTATAAGAAATTTACAAATTGTAAAATCTGTTCTCAGAGGACTACTGTATGCTACAAATCTTGTGTTATTTGACTTATGCAATGTTCATGAAAAATGTTAAAAATTCTAGCAAAAATTGTTTTCATTTCTGGATAACTTTTTCTAGAAGATAAAATAGAAGAAAACAATAAATTGATTAAGAGTAATTTGCTTACACTGATATTTAA